CGAGCATTTACTTTTGTTGAGCCTGTTCCCAACGAATTCGTCATTGGAGCCCTTAATTGATAGGAACTATGTGAAGTTCATTAATCTGTTTCTTGAATTCGCCGGCAATGGTCTCCAATTTCAGCTATCATTTTACCATTGTTGTGTTCAAAGGGACTTCCGAGATACATAACCTTCATCTTGCCCCTGCAACCTCTGCCAGTCAGTTCTTCAAAGATAAGCTTTCATTGTGCTTGATGTAGACCCTGTTCATTTTGGGTCTTTTATAATGCAGCAGAGTGATATACTCTTCAATTGTGGGCACCACGTCTTCTGGATTGAATGTGACACATAGTCGCCTTGTAGACTATCCTCTGTATTTTCATCTCTTGTATTACAACACCTTTGTCCATGGATTCAGATTATTCGAGTTTTAACAAACATGTTTTAGTGGATCAATAACCTCTTTTTAATGATGCAAGTGATGAAAATAAAATAAAATAAAGATGAAAAGAGTTAGTGAGGTGAAAAATAATCAAAAACGATCATAAAAATGAAAGTCCTACCCCATATGATATCTACCCCACATGCTTATTATTCCTACCCGGACATGATCTCTATCCCGCATGCTAATTTCAAACAAATCCTAACCGCATATTTGTCTAGTTCGCATGCTTTGAACAGAAAGTAAAGCATGAAATAAAACAGCCTAGGGTTTGAAGTGAGGTTTTGGGGTGGGCTCTAATTCTCCACAATCTCCCGGTTTAGGTTCTAAAAAACGGTACCCGAGTTCTCCTTGCTGGTGCCCCTTTGGGCTTGCCAGACCTTTAGTCCTAAACCCATCACAGGTTTGTGTGGACTAAGTTAAACTCGAGAGGACACATTCCCTTATGTCTATGCGGAGAATAAATTCACACGAAGACATAAGGTATATGAATCCCGAAGGCTACTTGCTAGGCATATGCGGTGAATAAATTCACACGAATGCGTCGCTTTCACCCCCGCTTAAAACGGGTTCGGAGCTCGGGTTTAGAGCCTTAGATGAAAAAAGACTTTAAGGGCTGAAATCATTGAGAAAACGATTAGTACAACTAATTACTCGAAAATATAATCAAAAGTAAGTAATAAGGATCGAAATGTTACCTTAAAATTTAAACTTACCATTTTCATTAAAAAGACAACTGGAAATTACCTTAGCCTGACTCACTTACCTGTATCCCCAGTGGAGTCGCCAAGCTGTCGTAACCGTCTTTCGGTTGGGCCCCGGAATTGGGCTTCGACTTAAAAAATGTGATTGGAGTCGCCACCGATTATTTATTTAAAAAATAAATAGGTTAATCAGATACCTTATATCTTACCTGATCTGCGTCTTACCAAAGATATGTCGGATTCGGGAGTCGATTACGGTCAAGGAAGGATTAGCACCCTTGAACCGCCCTTTCGGTACTACGTAATTTGCCGGTTGTCTTAAATTAAGAAAATTGTAATTTAAAATTAAAAGGTAAAAATACGATCACAATTACTTACCTTAGATAGTTTTAAAGGTGTGGCCTTAAGAAGGTCAAAAAACCATGTTAGATAAAAAGGTAATAGATAAAAAGGTAAGAAATAAATAAATAAATTAAATTAAAATAAAGAGAAAACAAATTAAATAAAAGATAAGATAAAGAAAACAAAGATAAAATAGTAAGTAAAATAAATATAAAAAATAAAGAAAAAGAAGAAAAAAATATAGAAATAAAACAAATAAATAAAATAATAATAGAAAAGTAAAAATAATATATATATAAAATAAAAAAATAAAAAAGTAAATATATATATATAAATTAATAAAACTGATAATAAAAATAATATATTTATATATAATCTAAAAAATAAAATATACTAAAATAAAAAAGAAAATACATAAAATGTAAAAAAAATATTACATGAAAAAAAAAGAAAAGAAAAATAACAAAACAATTAAATAAAATGAGTAACAAGGGAAATGTGCTTATAAATAAAGTTAAATAAATAAAATAATAATAATTAAAACGTAAATGTAAGAGACCAAATCAAAAGTAAAAAAGATACTACCTTTTATTTATTTTTCGAATCGTTTACAATAGTTTTACCTTTGTATCTTCTCGTGCTTTCCTCTATGTTTTGTGTGTAAATCCTGTGTTACAATAGTGAGCTACAATGGCTATTTATAGTGCTTGTAGATCCTATCTTTAGGAGTTTAAAACATAGCAAAATTCTATCCTATTTTAGGAGTTGAATCCTAGCAGAATTCTATCCTATTTTTGAGAGTTTGAATCCTAGTAGGACGAAAAAGGTGTGTTGACAATATAAAGTTCTTTTTATACTCCAAAACTCAACTATAAACACTTTAACTAACTTTTATCATTTCAACATCTTAATATCTCTCATATCTCATCCAATTTCTTAAAACTAAGAATCTTACTAAATTTTCCATATAATCCAAACTCAGTTTTAACACTTATAACTTCTTATTCACACTTATGACAAGTCAAATTCAACTTCCAAATTTATTTAAACCTTCTTATTCAAAATTTCACTTAAAAACTCTATTTACTTAATCTCTCCTAACTATCCATCTTTGAGTTTTTACTTATCTTTAGACTTCCTTAAGCTTTCTTGCTATCCAAAGAATCAAAACCCATCATAAAATTAAGGAATAGTCAACTCATATGAAACTCACCTTAAAACTGAGGTCACGGAAAGAAGAAGAAACAAGCTGAACCATCTTCTAGACTTTTCTTTCTTTCCCCCTTTTCCACGTGTTATATCCTATATAAAGGAGGAATAAAAATCTTTCTTATGAAATTACCATTATACCCTTAAAAAATCCATAATTACCATTTAATCCAATAAGGAATTATTCCTATTTAAGTCATTGAACTTTTAACTTGTTTCAAAATCGAGCACCTAGTTTTCAAAATTTGCAATTTAGTCACTGACCTTGATTTGGGATGTTACAGATATGATAGTAATTCGAGATTTTTTAGATCAAACTTTAACATATCATGTCAGCATGTTAACGTCCAACTTAGATTGTTGTCATTTTTTAACAAAATAGACAAGTTTTTGGAACATATTAATAGACAATTGACCATTTTATAACTTTTAATAATTGATGACTAAATAAACAATGTTCTTTAGTTAACTGACCATTTCGTAACTTTTAATAGTTAAATGACTCGACAAAACAATGACCTATAGTCGAAAGACCATTTGTATACTTTATTTTTTTCTTTTATATATTTATATAATTTTTAAATAAAAATTAGAAGTCAATAATTATCGATTAAACTTAAATAAGAAAATTCGTACATTTTTTTATTATTTCACTTATGATTATTTGTAGAATAAAATTGTACAATATTATTCAACATAAAAGAATTTTAAAAAATATTCATCCACGTCATGTTTCTAAACAAATCTAGTAAATAAAAGGGGTACTTTTACTGAGATAATCGTTTGAAAAAAATTGACTCATTTACCGAGTTAAAAAATTAATTGTTGAGATAATGTGAATATTACAATATTATTAAATAGTCACACAAATTGTTTGATGCTTTTAAGAAAATATATGAAAGATACTTCGTTTTTAGAAAGAAATATGGAAGTTGCAACCTCCTTTTTAGATTGCATATAGTTGGATGTCAAGTCTAATAGAGATTTCGATATTTAAGAAATGTTCATCAGGTGGTGTAGGAGTCTTCTGAAAGTATTTAGGTGATTCAAACAATTTTCAACAAATATGGTAACAATCACCCTAATTGAATAAATAATTTTTCTTATCCCTTATGTGAGTAATTTCCCCCACTACATTATTTAAGAAAATTTATTGGTCATTGATTGTTATAAAAATTATTATACAAAAGTGGTGAAATTGCTTGAATATTGTGAGATTATTTCATAATCATTTATTGCTACAATAATCTAGGAATTCGGTAGAACCATACAACGACTTCTAAAAAGTGTGATGTTTGCACAACGACTTTATGTGTTGCTTGCGTAGTAACAAAACTGGTGAAATTACTTCAATACGATGCATTAGAGATTATTTCATAATCAATGATTGGTACAATAATTGAGGAATTCAATAGAACCATATGACGACTACTAAAAAGTATGATGTTTGCACGATGACTTTTATGTGTTGCTTGCGTGGCAACAATACAATTAAGATACAATAATTCTAAAAAATATTGTACAATCAACATAATTATTCGATTTCACTACAATTGATTTATTCATTCTCTACATGTGAAAACAGGAAACTTACATCTAGAAAATAATCAATGTTACATCTACAAAATTTAAATTGATATAACAAACAGAAAATATAAAATAATACATACTAGATTTTTCACAATGAATGAAAAACATACATATAAAAATATATATTTCTAGAATTATTCATTAAATTATTATAGATAAAATAATAAAAATATATAAAATTGTTAGTTTCGTGTTAAAATCTTTAATATTATTTATTTATTATTTTATTTAAAGATTTTATTAAAAAATTTAGAAAATATTAGTCATTTATTTAAAGAGGGTATAAAACATGAAAATACAAAATCAATGTTAATTATTATTTATAAGGTTAAACCATAAGTTTAGCACCTCAACTATCACTTTTGTTCTGTTTTGGTCATTCAACTATTACTTTTAAAAATGTGTCTGACATTATATTTTAGTTTCATTTTGGTCACCCACTGTTAGAAAATTAATAGAGCTTCTAATGTGTCATTTAAACACAATTTAATGATGATATGAAATTATCTTATGGTAATACATCAACATCATCGTTAATTTTGTAATTATAGGTGATCAAAATAAAACCATAATGTAACATTAAGTATGATTTAAAAACAAAAAATTGTTAGATTACCAAGATAGAATAAAAACAATAATTAAAGTACTGAACTTGTAGTTTATCCTAAAAATAATAGTTGCCCCGAGAAAACGTAAACGGATAATCTGAGTACTAAATATCCGAAGAACAAGACAACCCATTTTTAGTACCCAAATTTACAGCAGTTTCTCTTGGGCATTCGGCGGCATCTAGTTTGTTCGTGGTAGGAGCAATCGATTCCCAGGTAATACTCTATCAAATTTATTTGGTTCCTTTTTGGGGATGATCTGAATTGTTTGCCCTACGCTTATAAATTTGGTATGTTTTTCAAAACTAAATAATTTTCTTATCTAATTTGCAGTTATTAGAAATCGATAGCAAATGGACAACATAGTAGATTCCTTAAACAACGCCTACCAAGAATTCGTTGCTTCGGCAGCTAATGTTCTGGAAACTAAGGAATCTTCGGCTACTCAAAAGACGGCTGCCACTGATGCTGCTTTGGAGAATTTAAAGAAGAAATGGGAATTATTCAGAGTTTCTTGTGATCAAGCTGAGGAGTTCGTTGAGTCCATCAAACAAAGGATTGGATCCGAGTGCCTCGTCGACGAGGCCACTGGCTCAATGGCTGGGAAGTCCGGCCAGCAGTCGACCGGCCTTCCTCCCATAAGTGCTGTTCGTTTGGAGCAGATGAGTAAAGCTGTCCGGTGGCTTGTCATTGAGTTGCAGCATGGTTCGGGAAATGCGGGTGGCGCTGCAGCTCATGCCCACCCGTCGGCTCCTTTCGATGCTAGATTCCCGGAAGATGGTGCTCAGTAGGTATCAATTATTGTTTCTACTCTGGAACTCCAACAAGTGGCTTTGGATGCTTGATACATATTGATTTTATAATACAATTCCATTCTTGTTTCATTTGTTCACCTTGAGTTGAAATGTATGGTAAGTATTTGATGTTGCTTGCGGAGTGATAATAACCTATAGTTGTTTTGTGTGATTGTGTTGTTTTGAGTTAATTGTTGTATAATTCTTATGCATTGATGTAGATTATAGTGCAAATCTGTTGGTATATTGCTTACCGGGAAGCATCTCTTTTCTATGCTATGCACTTTTGATCATTGCAAGTTCGATAAAACCATTTGTTTTTGCTTGAGCATCATTAGACGTTTATAATCTTGCTCAAGTAAGCATCATTATATTTTGTATCTACAGTGTTCAGCTTGTCAGCTCAGAATCTTAGTCGCCTTAGCGAATAGACCTTATATTTGCATTCATCTTCGCTCTGAGTATAATGTTACTGTTATTCATTGATTGAGTGTCAAAAGGTAAGTTATACGTTACTCCTATTTGGTTGGAATTGTCAGATACAAGTATCTGTGTGACAAGTATATGTTCGGCATGGATATGTTTTATGTTTTAAGTTTTTCTATTGATTTTTTGGATCCGTGGGGGATCATATCCATGTCCAAATTTGCATCAGAAACTGATATTGCACGTACATACTTCATCGAAAAATAATGAGGCTGAAGCAAATTAGAGCAAGATTACATGTTAGAATGAAACTGAATATCTTTTGTTAGTTGAACAAATGGGCATCTTTAGAATTCTAGGTGTGTTATGGTGCATGTTTTAATATGCTCAGTAGTTCAAAAATGTTACTAGATTAGTTGTATGGGCAAACTTGCCATTGTCGAATATGTTCTTTAATAACTTACTTTTTTCAGTACCGATTTATCCTACAGTTAGTATTTAGCTGTTTCCTGTGTATAAATTAGTTATTGTAATGATACTATAAAAAACTTTCAACTTTTGTGAAGAACAGCCATGAAAGCTTCTTTTGGCTTGATGGCATGGCTCATAATTCATATTTTCATACATTGGTGCAATCACGAGTTTGCTCCCACAAATCCTGTGCGTTGAAACATTACCATATCTACATGTTGATAATTTATGATATTTGAAGATATACACTTCCTTGACTTTAGTTGATCAATAACTCAGGATATGTGTGGCAAAAAAAAAAAAAAAAGCAGTATTTTGGAGATCTTTGATTTTGATTGCATGGCATTAGTGATAGACATAATTAATAAGGTGAGATACGGGTATTTATCTAGTTATTGGGTGTGAATGCTAGTGTATTGTCACTGGAAATTCTCCATTTAGTAATTAGTTTAGGGTTTGTTTTTAATATGGATAAATTACTTCTATTTCACTCACTGAACTTAATACATTGGGTTTTTTGGTCACTTAGTTTTTTCCTCACTAGCGGAGTTAAAAATGGACTTCTATACGTTGTTTTGGTGAAAATTTTGTTTTTTTTTTCAAAACGGTGTTGTTTGAACACCGTTAACTGTTTAGCGGTGGAGTGACAAAAATCTAATGTATTAAGTTTAGTGAGTAAAATAGGAGAGATAATAAAATTTAGTGATGAAATTTGTAAATTACCCTTTTAACCTGGTGATGGTTCTATTAGGGGCAGATAGCCTAAGGAGCCAGGGATCTTGGGTTCACTATTGTAAATCTCTATCACTTTTTCTACCTTTATCAAACCTTTTGATTTAGTGCTGGGAAAATAAATATTACTATAATGATAACTTTTTATTCTTTTTATTATACTTAAATAAAATAATTTGGATCTGACACATGAGAAGTAAGAATTTGTATAAATATTTTATCACTCAACTTATGATTATTCATTGAATAATTTTTAGTAATTATTTTTAGCATGATTTTTTTTTTATTTCTGTTGTGGGCTTATATAATTAGGTATTATATGTTATGCATGATTTTTTTAAATGGTTTACCACTTCATTTATATTCATTCGTCGAATAATAATATTTCTTAATATGAAATGTTTTCTTTAATCTTTATATATAAGGTAGGATTTATTTATATTCATTCGTTAAATAATCTAATATTTATGTATAAGGTAGGATTTATTTATATTAAGGAGGGGTTTGATTTGTGGAAAAGACTATTCTTGGATGTAACACCCACAGATTTATGCGGGTGACTCGATCCGATCCAAGGTGTAACATTAGGACTACCGGAGCGACTCACCGTAAAAATTCCAGAAAATTAAAATTTATGTTAAAGCGCGTAATATCATAAAACAATTTATATATTAGAAATAGAATTTAACAATATCAAAAAATAAAACAGATTTCAATAAAAAATATAATACAACTTACATGTCCCTTAATTACATGCATCGTACTCTGCAAGCAATGCCGATAGAATTCCTTTACTGATGTCGATATCTATACTGGTATGATTCTTTTAACCTGAAATTGTGAGTAAAAGAGTGAGCTTTGGGAAACTCATTAATACAGAACTACCAAGGGATGCTGAAGGACATGCATATAATAAGCAAACAAAATTTTCCCTATTGATTAAGATATCTTTAGATTTTTGTGATGAGTTGAGGTCTCACTAATATTTCAAGTAGTAAAAGACATGAAGCTTACAGTTAATAGGAAACGTTCGGAGAACAAGTTTCAGGAGATCAAAATAGGGTATCTAGTGTGTTCCTACAAAACCAATGAAAAGGTACATATCTTTTTAAAATTGTAACAATTTAAAACATATTTTTAAAACCATGGTAAAACTCTCCAACCGAATGCCAATATGCAGTTTCCCAGAACTGCATCCATAAGGTCTTACCCTAGGCCTATTGGGCATATGTGCCAATCTAAGGGAACACCTTGGGTCCATAAGGTCTTACCCTAGCCGAAGCATAGGTGTTCACCTGAGGGGAGTGCCCTCAGGTCCATAAAGACTTACCCAAAGCACATAGCAGAGGTGCCACCCTAAGAGAGTTCCATAGGTTCCATAAGGTCTTACCACTAGGCCCATTAGGCATTGGAGCCCACCCAAGGGTCACCTTAGATTCGTAAGGAATTACCAATTCGATCGGTTTGAACCTATATAAGGAATTACCAGTTTGATCGAGTTGAACCTGTCGTAAGGAATTACCAGTTCGATCGGTTTGAACCTATTTAAGGAATTACCAGTTTGATCGAGCTGAACCTGGAGAGACTTCATACAAGATCCTAGAGTACCCAAAGAAAAAATATTTTTCAGACGATAACCAGTGGTAGCAGGAAATCAAAGTTCAGACATATCAATTCAGTAGAAACGATATCCAGAGATAATGAATTAGACATGCAAACTTAAAAACTACAGTAACTCAGAAATCTCGGTAAAACACATTTCAAAACAGATAAAACAATCATATAACACATAGGGAACACACTAGATAATCCAATTATTTTTTAAAGGTATTGGTATTTATTAGGTAGGGAGCCATGAAACTTTTGTAAACTGATTAAATTAAGAAATGATATCCCTATAAAAGGGTTTGATAACTGACGGATTCATCAGTTATTTGTGACATGATTTATCAAGATCATAAAGTATTCGTACATTTTTTGGAGGCACTATATAATCAGAAATGTATTCAGAATCCTTCGCATCAGAGTTACTTGTGATTTTAGATATGACATGAGTGATTCCATTATTTAGGAAATCAAGGGCATTTTGAGACATAAGGTTCTTGGAGAATTCTTAGTAATTTGATCTAATAAGGGAACTAACGATGATTCATAGTATTTAAGATTCATGTCAATTTATCAAGATATCAAGTTATCTCAAACTGAACAAATTCCAACACTGTAATATCTATTAATCGGTCAAATCGATACACTTCAAAGGTATTCACACTTTAATACTGACAACTCTTGTTGCACTGATCATCTTCAGAATCATCGTTGAATGGATCTTAGGGAGACGAACATGTATTCTAATGGTATTTATTTCACTTCTGTATTGCAACGATATATAGAAATGTTGACATGCTTTATTCGTGGTTAAAAACCCTTATGGACGGTACAACATATAAGATCATCATTGTTTATAGACTTATCCAAGTTATTCGCTTAATTCTAGGACTTTGAGCGTACTTAGGTCATTTAGTAGTCAAGTTATCCCGGTCACTTCGGAGTTTCCAAGGTAATTCAGTCGTTTCCACAATTCAGAAACTTACAATATTTTTTTTAGCTCAACTTGGTCATTTTACAGTTCAGGGGAAATTCCGTGATTTCATAACAAGTAATTTTGGTATTAAAGTTTTTAACGATGATGAATAAAATTTATAGATTCCGAGGTTATTTGCTTTTCTAGATAATCACTGAACTTGAAATCATTCTTATATGTCTTCTTGTGTCTATGCAGATAGTTTGAGCTTTATTCAGCTTAATTTATTTTATTCAACCATGCATTTACCAATACTAACATGTTCCATACAACATGCATATGGTAGTAATATATTACCTCAATTTATGAACTATATTGATCAACCATTTAAACTACATTTGATCGCCCTTAACTTTTGTTCCAAGTCCCATAATGCCTCATATACATAGCAAACAAATTTACGTCAGAAACTGAACTTAATCAGAAAACCAAATTTGATTACAAACATAAATCACTGAAAATGGCTTACCAAGTGCGAATTTGGCAAAACGAACTTTGGATTCGGACTCATGACGTCGAAAAACATAAAATAGGATTTTTCAGGAATTTTAACTTTTCGGTCAAAGTCAACGAGTCAAAGCCAATGTGTCAAAGTCAATGGGTTAACTCAGACTAATTGACTTGGAAGAGTTGACTCAGTCCGGGTTGACTCAGACGGGTCAAATAGATTCGATTCAGACCGGTTTGAATGGACGACACGTGCGACGACAACAAGGGTCAGGACGGACGACCGAACACTCCCGAAGCATTCTCACACCAAAAAAATCCCAAATCAATACCAATAATCAACTAAAACCAAGTAAAAATGAGCAAGGGAGCGATCAGAGTTCATTACCAATGGTGACCAAAGAAAAACACGATGACACGTGACACCACCGACTGGGTCCTGACCGCGATTGAATGAGGAGATCGATGGTGAGGGT